TTACCTTCAAAAAAAAAATTTATATATATATATAAACACACACACACACACATGTGTGTATTACAGTATTTAAAAAATATATATTTTGAATTAGCTTTTATTTTAATATTTTTTGTTTTAATTTTACTTTACTAAGTTTGTTATATGCTTTTGTCATTTTGATTCGTTTTTCTATATATTTATTTTTATTTCAGTTTTAGCTTTAGTAATTTTAGTTCTTTAACTAATTTTATTTCAGTTTGTCACCAAGATCAACAGAGGATGTAGTGATTCGGAGAATATAGTTTCCAAGTGTTTTACGTTTTGTTGTTGTTGTTGTTTGTTTGTTTGTTTTTGTTTTGTTGTATCTAATATTTACATTTAATTTAATTTCAGCTCTAAATAAAACGTTTTTTTAACCATTTTAGTTTTAGTTAACAATAACAACAATTATTTGCAGCAGACAAAACAACAGACTTTGTGTTTCCTTAGTTTTAAACATTTTTTTATTTTGCATGAAACATTGTTTAGCCTATTGCAATTCATGTGTAAATATTATTTATTTATTTATAACTTTTCTTTTCATTTATATATTTATTTTTCATGAACTATTCCTTAAATGCCTTTTAATAGAACTTTTTTAATTTTTCAATTAAAGAACAAACTACTGTGAACAATTTCTTTTATTTTATTTATTTATTTTTTTGGCTATACTTGAACAATAACAAGCAACAGAAAGAGGTAAAGAAAGTTAGGGGGTGACGACAGTTGGAAACTGGAATTAGCGTTTCTTGCCAGGACAAGATGGGATAAGTTCTTGTCCTCACAGGTAGTCGGCATTGAGTCACAGCCAGGAAGAAAACTGATTTAATTACATTCTAACCCCAAGACAAGCACAGACATTCCTGAGCGTTTGGAAGGGCAGCTCCTTCAACCTGCAGCCGGCAAGCTAATTATCCACACAACAGACACTGTGTCCAGGTAAATGACTTTAGATATTGAGAATTAGGGAAAAATCGCAGGGAACGGGAGCGGGAAGGAGGTCATCCGTCTCTTGTATGGTGTTGGATCAACCTTATGTTGTGCGCTTTGGATTCTTTGGCTCCTCTGTTTTCCCGCTCAAATGAGCAGCTGTCTCTGATCCGTGAGCTACAGACTAATTAAGTCATGCTAACACTGAAGCCACCTTGCAGCCAGTAAATATCACTCCAAACATTATAAAAAGCATCAAAGTTAAGAATCAAGTACCAGTTTTAATTTAGAACTTATGCAAAGCGATTTTCAAGATTTACGGTTTTGGAAAATTGGTACTGCAAAAACATTTGAAGACAAGAAATGTTTACAAATCCTTTGTTCAGAGTTACCATGTTATTTATACATCATTCATAGAATGTTTTAGTTCTAAAACATTAGTTGAATGTTCCTTTAACGCATTTTAAATGTTACTACTGGTTTTAGACCATTCGGTGAACATTTCAAAGTTTTGTTATCGTAATGTTCGCAAAATTATAAAATGGAATGTGAAAAAAAAAGTTTTTAAATCTTTTCAAATCTGGACCTTTTTGCATATTCAGAGAACATTAATGTTTTATAGCAGTATGTTCTCAGAATTTATTTTTTGGGGTTTGACTCTTTGCATTCACACATGAATGACTCTTCTGAGTCAGTTCTTTTTTATTGAATCTGTTAAAAATGTATTTTTTAAATTATGAATTATTGGTGCTCGCAGCAAATTTAAAATTGCTGACTGAAGTCATAACTTTCGCAATGTCCAAAATGAGCTAAAAACTGATTCATTTCATGTTTTGTTACAATAAAAATGGCACTTTAATTAAATGACAATTAGACACACACACACACATTTCTACACTATCTCTAATGTCAAAGAAAATAGTTTAGTATAAAACAATTGCTAAGAGAATTGCTCAAGAACCAGAATAATTCACTGGAATCAGAGGCGATAAATTCCTTACTGTTGATGCACAATTCTGGATTATTAATGTTCAAAGCATCCCGTTCCACCTCAAGATATGAGGAAACCACCAGCAGGCCAACAGCATCAGAGCTCTGATGAACTGCTCATCTGCTCATTTTTAATTAAACCTCATTTATGAGGCTGCGCTTCTTTATGGCTGTTTTTATTGGCCGACTTTATGACAGTAGCTGCACATCTGCTAACCCTCTTAAACTTCAGAGACTCTATTGACAAATTAAGCCCTGTGGAGGTACACAAGCTTTAGTATTGAACTTGATCAGTTTTAATAAAACTTTGAGGTGAATCTGAGGATTTGCTTGTACCTACCTCAACCTCAAGCTTTCACATTTCTCTTGTGTAGATGATCTCTGCACTGAAGAAACTGTAAACAGGGTGCAACTTATGAGCAACTCGACAAAGTAGTTCGTGTGACATCAGTGGTTCAACTGTAAAATGACGTCATCACGCCGGATCTGAGTCAGCGCCGCCACACACTCGCGTCATGATACTGTCGTGAACGCGCGTCCAAAGTAACGCAGTAATTTTTGTTTTCTTTGTGCAAAAAAGTATTCTCGTAGCTTCGTAACTTTACAGTTGAACCACTGATGTCACACGGACTACTTTGTCGATCATCTTGGTATTTTTCTGGACCTTGAACGTGGTAGTTACCTTGCTGTCTATGGGAGAGTCAGAGAGCCCTCAGATTTCATCAAAAATATCTTAAATTGTGTTCTGAAGATGAACGAAGGTCTTACGGGTTTGGAACAACACGAGGGTGAGTAATTAATGACAGAATTTTCATTTTTGGGTGAACTAACCCTTTAAATGTGTATTTTGGATGTCTTCTTTCCATTAGTCTTGGAAGTTATGGAAGCAAAACAGCACAAAATCTCACAATGCATTAGTGCATGAATGAACAATTTCCTTTGAGATTATACTAATGCACCAATTTAGGTTTGGTGAGATGAACCTTAACAGATCACGCTCTGAAAATGACCTCTGGAAATTTCTCTCGACTCTCCTTAAAGAGAGTGCAAAGCGTCTGAAGCACTGGATATGGTTTATGTTACTGATTAACTCTCTCCCAGCGTCACCCGTGTGTTATCTGCGAGCGCGGGTCTGTCTCGTCCGCTCACGCCCGTCTCATGTTGACATTCCAGAGGACTGGACCTTGTGCAAACAGCCTCTGACAGGTGGAGGCTATGAGAACCAGTAGATTGAGATGGCAGTCAGCGCTCTGATGGGCCTCCTCACGTATTTCAACAGCTCTGAGCTGAAGAACTTTATGTGGCAGATGCTCATCACAGTCTCTCTTTTGGAGGATCATACAGGATGGTGGAGAGCAGTAATGAGGTCAGTGAAGGGCATGATAGGTTTCAGTCACTGTAGTTTTTGTCATTTTTTCAGATGAGGAGAAGGTTTTGCTTTCCTGAGTGGCGCCATTGAGCTTTCAACTGTATTAAACAGACAGCCTCATGAAGAATAAAGAATTAAAATGACTTGTAACCAACATCATTTTTAGGGAACACTGGTTTCATCGGAAATAAACAGGTGATTCGTTTAGTATCTCGATTTGAAATCAAATGGAGATCAAATAGATGTTAACATCTGCTTCTCAGAAGTTTCTCGTGAGAACAAACAGTATGTGTCTCCTCTAATGTCTTAATGTCTCAACAAGGTCTCAAACTGCTCACATATGCATAAACAAAATACCAAAGCTTGAAAATAATGTCATAGATCTCAATATGAATTTATCAAATTCTACTTTTTTATGTAAAGACTAAAACTACCATGAAGATGTGAGTTTACGGGCTTGCATTTTTCATATTAAAACACTCCTGAAATTTTTTTTTTTTCGCAAAACATAACTATTATCACCCAGCCCATTATACATAGTAGCATATTTAAATATGTACAACTTTATCTGCATATTTACAAGGCATGAGATACTTTATAGCAAATCTCAACTGCTTGACTGCTTGTATCATTGCAAAATGTAAACTGTATTATCAAGTGCTGTCAAACGATTAATTGCGATTAATCGCATCCAAAATAAAAGTTTTTGTTTACATAATATATGTGTGTGTATTGTGTATATTTATTATGTATATATAAATACGCACACATACAGCATATATTTTGAAAATACTTACATATATTTACATGTATATATTTATATTCATATAATTTATATCATATATAAATGTTTAATATATAAACGGAACATATTTTTTCTTAAATATATACATGCATGTGTGTGTATTTATATATACATAATAAATATACAAAGTACACACACATATATTATGTAAACAAAAACTTTTATTTTGGATGCGATTAATCGCGATTAATCGTTTGACAGCACTAATTATCACACAACTCTAATCTGCTAAATGCGACTATAACGCATGAAAATACTAAGATATTATGAACATTAACATGATTTTCTCCAAAGCTGCTTTGAAACTGTGTACTGTAAAAAAACGTGCTATATAAATTTTACTTGAATATGTGCAAAGACACCAGAAAGGGGTTTACTTGGAAAAGCGGAACAAAGTATAAAAACAAAGCACACACAAATCATGTTTTCATCTTTAATTTTACAAATCTGTCAGGAACACTTGTTGAGAACAACCTCAGCTCATTTGTCTGGAAGAAAATGAAACACTTGAACGATTAGTAATACTTTCGAATTGATGTGGGTAAAACTGCGCAAAATATACTGCAACCTTTTTTCCAGTATTTCGTCAAATTCAAATGCAAACTTCAGTGTGAGTAAAACAGCCGGATAAAAACAACATCCTCTACTATAGAAAAGGGATTAGCTGACTATAAAAATGTACGTTATTTTTGCATTTTAACTTACTATTCACATTTGTATATATATAAAAAAGACGTAAGAAATGCAAATCTTCTGATACCAGCTACAAATAATGAAATGTCATTTTACATTACAAAATAAACATTATGAATCATTATTGTTTCTACGGTCATCATTAATATTATTATCTCTTTATTATTTTGATCTTTTTTATCCTTTTGATTCTTTTTTAACACAAGTCAATAAATTAACATGCTATCTCTTTCCCTGAAAGCCAATACGTGACTGTGTCAGCAAGTGAGAGTTGCGCAGGACCCGACATTAAACTTTTCCAGGAGATTTTGTGCGCCCGGATTCGAACCAGCATCACAGCTCAATATGCCTGGAACATACGCATGAAAACTGAGAGTTTTGTGGCTTTTAGTCCATGTTTGTTAGTTTTGAGGTCATCTAAACGCTAATACACTTCCAAAGGATGACAAAGAAAAGAGACTTCCTGTTTTAACAGGAAACACAAAAGAGAAAACTGCACTCGTCGAGCCATTACATGGAGTTTTTTTTAATGTCGAGTCCTGCTATATATGTGTGGATGTAAGTCTGGGAATGTAATAGAAACATCTAGATGTGTCTACATCTATTTATCACTCTGCGGGAAAAGGGAGGAATTGTTCGGAAGTCCATACAAAAAAATAATTCATTGTAAATATATAATATATATTTTTACATATTTGAATATATTTACAAATATACCCAGCACTATATACCATGTTTTTTTGTTTTTTTTACCGTTAAGGATAACTGCTTGGGATTTTTGTATGATAACTGTGTTATCATGGTAAAAACGGAGCATTTAGAAATAAAAATTTTTTAAAATCAACTGGAGGCAGTGTTATGTTTTCTTCTACTTCTTCTTCTTCTGTTAGTTGTATGTTTCCTTATTGTACTCGTATCCTATTTTCTCCTTTTTGTCTCTTAAGAGTTCTGTCCATGTGCTCCATTCATTTCTCTTGGGAACACAGAATCCTGGAATGCCAAGCAACAGAATGATGGTAAGAATGTAATAGAATTCCAACACAAATGGAAAAAAATCATCATCAAAATAACCCAAAAAAAGCAAGAGGTGGGTCCTTGGAAGCAGTCACTTTTCTTCAGTCCTCATCCTCTTTTTAAGAGCTTGGTCACGTGTTTTTGTGTGCGCAAGTGTGCGTTTCCACAAAAAAGGCACCTGCGCTTCACACACTTCAGTTTCTTTCCGGAAAAGCAGCACTGCTGGCGTCTCAGCCTCCTTTGGGACGCTCCAAAAGTCCAGCGGGAGCTTCGCGAGGAGTCTAGAGGCAGCATACGGTTCTGGATGGGGACAAGGGAACTGTGGGTAAAAGTCTCTCAGTCTTGTTGAGAACTGCAGATGTAGCTTGGATGCGGTGGGTCTGGAGAAGGTTGAAGAGGCTCATGTTTTTATGCCTCCGTTGATGTGCTGGTACTTGGGGAGGCAGGGCTCGTCTGCTAAGGGGTCGTGGGAGAAGACCGAATCGTCTCCGGAGGAGCAGGAGCTGCGTGTGTCGGGGAAGCTGGGAGAGTACTGCTCCACCGGGGCGCACAGGTCCAGATACTCCTACAGACACAAAGATGAAGCTGTCAGTATAAACATGACCAGAACTAGAGCTGCCACATTTACTAGGGGAAAATTATATTTCAATTATTCAATTGAAAGAGAACCTGTTTCCATGGAGAAAAACATTTATTTAAACCAGTGTTATTTTAATAAAATGCATACACTATTATAGTTTTTAAATAAAAAATTTGAAATAGATTGTTTCCCAAAAATGTTATAATGGTTTTACTTTTATTTAGTTATTTAGAAAGTTCAAAAGTATTTATTTGAAATAAAAGTCTTTATTATAAATGGCTTTATTGTCACTTTTAATCCATTTAATGCATCCTTGCTGGAAAAAAGGTATTAATTTAATTATTTGAAAAAATATTTTTTGAACAGTAGTGTATATAACCAAATAATTATTTATTTCATTATAATGATTATTTTAAACAATACTTTCTGCTGTTGCCTTGGAATAAGTTCAAGTTTTCCGTATTTTATTTTATTTTATTTTTTTTTTTTACTTTTAGTTAGTTTTCACAATTCTTCAGTTAGTTTTCAGGAGTCTGTGATGAATAGAGAGTTCAAAAGAACAGCATTTATTTGAAACAGAAATCTTTTGTGACATTTAAATGGCTTTACTGCCACTTTTGATCAATTTAATGTGTCCTTGCTGAATAAATGTAATAATGTCTTTCCTTCAAAAACAAAAAAGACTGAACCCAAATGTTTGAATGGTAGTGTATTATTTGTAACTCAAATAATACTTTCCGCTGTGGCTCACCAGCAATAACACTGATCTACTAGCCGCTTCCTTAAAAATCAAGTGCGCTCAATCCGAGTTTAACCATGCTGGAAACCACGTCTGAACAATCGCCTTCAGAATGTCAAGTCTAATCGAATTTCAGTGAATCAGTAACAGAACGGACCACACCTGAAAACTTCTATATATTTCTAAAATGCATATCTAAACATCCAATGCACATAAATATATATGACCAAAAAGGGTGTTTTTTCTTGGTTCATTCCTCAGACAATTTTCTCTTTGTGGCTGGTATTGAACTATTTGACGAGAGGAAGAAGGGGGTTTTAGGTTGCTGAAAATGAGTGTTGGATTGAACTCTCGCTGCTCAACACAAGGCAGCTCACATTACTAAAGACCTTCATAGGGGAAAATTATATTTCAATTATTCAATTGAAAGAGAACCTGTTTCCATGGAGAAAAACATTTATTTAAACCAGTGTTATTTTAATAAAATGCATACACTATTATAGTTTTTAAATAAAAAATTTGAAATAGATTGTTTCCCAAAAATGTTATTTTCATTTAACTTGGTATAATTATAGAAATGTGTCACTTTTGTTAATTTTCTTTTTATATGTATATACAGTTTAAAAAAAAAAAATGAAATGCTGAAATTAAAAAATGCACCTTTATATTTTATTTTATTTCAGGTAATTTTTTATTGTATTTCAAGTAATATATAAAAAGGGTGTTTTTTCTTGGTTCATTCCTCAGACAATTTTCTCTTTGTGGCTGGTATTGAACTATTTGACGAGAGGAAGAGGGGGGTTTTAGGTTGCTGAAAATGAGTGTTGGATTGAACTCTCGCTGCTCAACACAAGGCAGCTCACATTACTAAAGACCTTCACATCTGTGAGCAGTTTAAGACGGGGGGGAAGAAAGCAGAGGCACTTTATTACATTTCTAAAGTTCAAAACGGCGAGCGAGAGCGGGGCTTTTGGCGTCATCTCTCTTCCACGGCTCAATCCCCCCCTTCGACAAGTTCTGACAGATTTCCATCCTTAAGCCCGCCACACGGATATCATGGATGACAGCTAGGGAACGGAAAGAATCGTCTAGTAGGGATCCATCTGACAATTGAGCAACGTTAGCACGAGGGCCACTCTCGAAAACCCAAGCCTGGATGAAATCAAGCAACCTGTACGCGGACCGTAAAAACCGTTTCCTTTCCCTCGCGGATCTTGCGAGCCGGAGCCAGTGTTGGCACAGGTTTGATGGATCCCAGAACTATAGGGAAAGCGTGAATGTTTTCGAGTCTGTTTATGCATGTGTGTAAACGTGTGCACGCCTCACCTCGTTGGTTGCCAAAGTGAGAATGCGGTCCAAGTCCTCGACCAACTGTTTGAATGTGGGCCTGTGAGAGGAGATCGCATGCCAGCAGTCCTTCATCATCATGTACCTGAGAAAAGATAACGTGACATCATTTATTTATTTCTAAGTTCTGTTTTTGAGTTTTGTGTAATCAGACATGCTCAGCCGAGTACACGTGCGCTAAATAGCGGGTTCGATGAAAGGGTAACCGTAATTTTGCTGCCCACGTACCATCTCAAAACTAATGCAAAAGTCTTATTTTGGCAGCAAGTCAACGTGAAAGTCTGTTAGGTCATCAACACGTTGGCTAATAGGTACTTTTATATAGTATAGTATAGTATAGTACTTTTTTGTCAATTTAGGATGTGAAGGAGCTCTGCGAAGGCCATGAGAGCACGATTAAAAACTTCCACTGTGAAATTACAATCTGTTGGATGCTCTGAGAAACTGCAAAGCATCTTGGTAGAGCTGGGAAACTAGCTTCACATTGACGTAAACAGCATTTTACCATTTTACTTTCATAGTGGGATGTGTTTCTGGGTAAAACTGAGGAAAAAACAGAATGAGACTAGCTTAACTAGTTCACACTAAATACAAGCCAAAAAATGTTAGAAAAAAAAATGGTGCAGTGAACCAGCTCTAAATGTAAGACAGAAAAAATAGCGGGAAATTAGCTTAACTAGTACATGCACACACATGCATGCAAGTCAAAAATGTGATTAAAAAACATTTTTAATTAACTAATGCTTAACTAATGCATTGCTAGGCTAAATGTAATTTTTTTTTTAAAAAACAAGAAAAAAACTGTAGAAAATTAGCTCAACTAGTACATGTACACTACATGCAAGTCAAAAATGTGATTAAAGCAGTTAGTTGGACACTAGCCTAACCAATGCATTGCTAAGCTAAATGTAAGATAAAAAAACAGCTAGTAGAAAATTTGCTTAGTTAGCTTAACTTGTACAGATTACATGCAAGTGAAGCGACACAAAGACTCAATAAAAGACATAAAATGGCAGAAAAAGAAAGTGATTAATTGGACACTAGCTTAACTAGCTCTCTGACACGTTAAATACAAGTTTAAAAAAAGGCAGAAAAAGTAAATGATTGCTATTTAAGCTAGCTCATGATGCTAATTCAACTAGCTCACTGACAAGGTAAATGCAAGACAGAAAAAATGGATTACTGACACTAAATTTAAGCCAAAATTATATTATTAAAAAAGGTGAGTGTTGGATGCCAGCTTGATTAACTCAATTATACATTAAATGCAAGTTATTTATTATTATTAAATCACCAGATTAACTAGTTCACTGACAATGTAAATGCAATTCTAGCTCACTGGAATGCTGAAGGCAAAAGAAAAAAACGAAGTAAATGATTAGTGGAACACTAGCTTAACTAGCTCACTGACAAGGTCAATGCAAAATAGTAGAAATAAAATGATTAGCAGGACAGTAACTTAACTAATACATGGACACACTGAAATCAAGTAAAGATATGATAACTAAAACATTAGTATGATGCCAGCTTAACTAGCTGGTACATTTTTAGCGGTATGATAGCTTAACTAGTGCGCTGACAAGATAACTACAAGACAGTACAAATTGGTAGAAAAGAAGATTTGCGCAACATCTGAACTAGTACAAGGACATACTAAATGCAAGCTACAATATGGCTAAATAAGGGGCGCTAGCTTGACATAATAAATTTTTTAGTGGGGCTCACTGACTGCTAAACATACAATTATAGAAAATGGTTAGCAGCAGGACACTAGTTTAACTAGTCCTGAAATGCAACTGAAATTACAAAAAAAATAAACAAATAAAAAATTGGGACGCCACCTTAAGTTATGTAAAATGCAAAGAGATTGTATTAATCAGAAGAAGATTCCTATTACAAACAACGCAACATGAAACCTTTGAGAAAACATCAACACTCACAATTCGTTGGTGCAGTTAGCAGGCTTGTCCATGCGATGACCCTCTTTTAGACGCGTTTCAGAAAGGCGGGGCATAGAGGAGCAACAATAATGTACAGTATGTGGAAAATAATGTGTTTTTTTAACCTTAAACCACATAAACACATTTCATTACACCAAATACACAAAATAATGTTCATTTTAGCAACATCATATGACCCCTTTAACAACAAATTCCAGCCTCTTCTGTGGTACCATTACTTCACTATCCCCAAAATTTGGATGAGGAACGCTTTGGAAATGAAGCCTTTCCAAAAATCCCAATTTGATCCATTTACAGTAGTGATATTTGTTGGCGCTAACAACGCAATAGCTGTTGAGGTCTCAATGCGGTCTTTCTGCCAGCGTCCCGGACTGTGGGACCACTTTTACACGACTCAAATGGCTCTGGACTCAAAGCTGGCTTTTGTCCTCTATGGAACGCCACAATGACACATATTGTCCAGCCAAAACAAACATTAGTGAGACCCACAGGAAACAAACGTCCAGATTGCGGAAGATTGTAGCAGGGAATGATTTTTCAACACGTGCCAATTCCGTGTTGGAGGGGGGAAAAAACACGCAAATGATAAGAGTTTCCACAGAGGGTTTCTGACCTTTGACTCATCATATGCGAGTTAAAAGCTTCCCAAAATAGGCCAGCGGACATGCAGAGCCAGAAACCCTTATCATCTGCATAAGCTTTTATTTATCCTGTGGAGTTAACAAAAGCATTTCACAATCACAAGAAATCAATGCGTTACACAACGTGCTTGAGAAATACATCTCTACAACTATACACACAGGTTAGTAGAAAAGAAAAGAGGCGAGATTTCTTTAACATCTCAATTGCTTCTCGTAAATAGCAATGAGAATCAGTGGAGAGCATATTTGAGACTTTGGTGTAATCTCCTGCTTCTCAGATGTTTCTCCTGAGAAAAAGACACTAAAATGGTCTCAGATACCAACATTTGCACTCAATTAGATCTCAATACGAACTCCAATATTTCTCAAAGATTCCGTGGAGGGCAAATTCGAAACTTTGCTTTGGTCTCCTGCTTCTCAGATGTTTCTCCCGAGAAAAAGACTTGAAAAATAAAATGCCTCAATACGTGCTCAGATACCAACATTCGCAATCATTCGATATGAGATCTCGATATCACAGAGGGTTTCTGACCTTTGACTCATCATATGCGAGTTAAAAGCTTCCCAAAATAGGCCAGCGGACATGCAGAGCCAGAAACCCTTATCATCTGCATAAGCTTTTATTTATCCTGTGGAGTTAACAAAAGCATTTCACAATCACAAGAAATCAATGCGTTACACAACGTGCTTGAGAAATACATCTCTACAACTATACACACAGGTTAGTAGAAAAGAAAAGAGGCGAGATTTCTTTAACATCTCAATTGCTTCTCGTAAATAGCAATGAGAATCAGTGGAGAGCATATTTGAGACTTTGGTGTAATCTCCTGCTTCTCAGATGTTTCTCCTGAGAAAAAGACACTAAAATGGTCTCAGATACCAACATTTGCACTCAATTAGATCTCAATACGAACTCCAATATTTCTCAAAGATTCCGTGGAGGGCAAATTCGAAACTTTGCTTTGGTCTCCTGCTTCTCAGATGTTTCTCCTGAGAAAAAGACTTGAAAAATAAAATGCCTCAATACGTGCTCAGATACCAACATTCGCAATCATTGAGATCTCGATATGAACTCCAATATGTCTCATAAAGATTCAGTAGAGAGAAAATTTGAGAGAGTCTCAAAATGTGATCAGATATCAAAGTTTGTGATCAATATATCAATATGAATTCCAGTATTTCTCATAAAGATTCAGAGGAGAGCAAATTTGAGACTTTTCTTTGGTCTCATGCTTATTTAGATGTTTCTCCTGAGGAACAAGACTCAGAAAATGTCTCAAAACGATCTCAGATACAAACGTTTGCGATCAATGAGATCTCAAAATGAACTGTTTCTCAAAGATTCAGCGGAGAGTAAATTTAGACTTCACCGTAGTCTCCTGCCTCTCAAATGTTTCTCCTGAGAAAAAGACACTAAAATGTCTCAAAATGTGCTCAGATATCAAAGTTTGCAATCAAAGATCATTATGAACTCTAATATTTCTCATAAAGATCACAGTAAGTTTCTATTCACATAAATGTAATACCTCTAGCCTAAACAGCTATCGTCTCATTTATGTCTATTTCTATTTCTCCTAAAGAGTTTTAGGAGAAACATCTGAGACTGAGAACTCATCAAGTCTCATTAGCTAGAAAAGAGCAGCCTTTGAACAACACAGTTTTCCTCTGGTTGTACTCTTTTCTGTTGACCCACAGCACTCACAGCACACAAAGCAAAGCACAAAGGCTCTCTGCTTTGGTTTATTCCTGCGGTTACCGGTCATTGTGTTTGTTTGTTTATTCAATCAGTTACCCAGTTTGTCTTCTTCTCATTTTTATCTAGCGCTGCATCTTCTCTGACATGTTTGCCAAATTCATCATCTCTATTCAGTCACCCCATGTAACCGTGGCTAACCTCCCCATGAACGATCACTCACACTGAGAGAACAAAAAGGGTCACTGCAATGTCCTCTTGAACCCTTGCACTTCAATGCAATAGGCCGCAAATGGCTTGTGTGCAAATGATACAGCTGTATGCTAGACCTTGCTTGCTAATTAGCAATGAATGAATGACACATTTCACTTGAAAATTAAGAGAAAAAAATGAGAAATTTGATTTTGCATAAAGAAAATATTTGTCATTGAAATAATTCCATAATGCATAAAATAAAATACAATTTCAAAAAATAAAATAAAATAATCAATCAATCAATTAGTTGTTTTGTTATTTTATTTTATTTATTTTTTAGGGTGAAATTTAATTATCTTGACAAAGGCAATAAAGGTAAAAAGTGACCCAATTTTATAGGTTTAAAAAGGCCTACACCTTTCTTTAATCTAATTTAGCTGACCTTGCATGAGGCCGGATGAACCTCAACCATAAAAGCCATCAATTTAACATCCTGAACAAACAGGAAATTCACACACATGCATCCATATTTCCATTTTTGCAAGCTCTGCAGCTTACATCCCATTCCCCAGGGGTCTTGTTTGTCAAAACATGCCAATTTTTATTATAATTTATGTATTAATTTCATATGATGTCATGTATGGATCATGTCTGCCTCTGAGCCAATCAGAAAGCTCGGGACCTTAGTGACTGATGAATAATTAGCATTGAGCGCCGAGACAAAAGATTCAAGCGTTTGCCATCAATAAGGGTCTCTTTGCTATTGATTTGATTTTACAGCACCGACCACACAAAGAGCAGGCAAACATGACAAAAGATAATGCGCTGCAAGAGATTACGCAACATATATCATTAGGGGTGGACAGTATGACCACATTATTTTATGATAATATCTGTTTTTGTACATTCCAATGCCATTCCATTAAATACTTCACAAATTAGTCATTTGGAACTTGATGGATGCAAACCAAAAGATCAGAATATTAATAACAAATGAATGTAGAAATGATTTCAGCCTGTGCATGCAGCCAAAACTTCAAAACATCCCACAGAGGTCGCATGAAAAATCCAAAACATGCACCAAAGCGTAACTTCCGTTTCGTTTTATCTCTTTAAGAGACAAAAAAAAAATATATGTGAGCTTAAAATGAAAGGGAACAAGCATGCACTAGCGGATGAACGCAAACACAAATGACAGGATTATTTCACTCTATGGAAAATAAAAAGAAGGGAAGGGACTTTCAAGTGTTCAAAAAAAGAAAAAACAATGAGGTAGGGAAGAGCTGGATGGAGGAGTGTGACGGGACGGAGTGAAGGGAAGATAGAGGGCATTTCCGTCGGGGCTCTGGGAGGTGAGAGTCTGGCCCGTCTGAAAGGCTTTGAAGCCGCGCAGATTAGTAACACGCCACTGGTCACAAGTCGAGCGTGAAATCTCTCGCTTTTTCGGTGTAGCGCTGGCCGCGAACAGCCCTTCTTCTTTCTCTGACACACAAAAACACTTCCTTAACTTTCCATCACTCGTGCTCCTTTTTTTCACAAGGGAAACAATTCTTGTACCTCTGAACTCACCTGCCAGCAGCTCCTATTCTTTCCCAAACTACTCGCTTTACACAAACACACAGCCACTCCAATCACAGTAGAACTGTTTTTCTGCGCTCTCCAAACCACTTCAGACAACTTTTTCAATTTGTAGAAAGAATAACAGCCCTAACAGTATCATTTAGACTTGGATCCATAACAACTTGTGCAGAACCAACCAGAGCAATCCAAAACCAATGAGCAGAAATAACAAGCTATCGTCACCAGTGTTGGATGTAACGCATTACAAGTAACGCGAGTTACGTAATCAGATTACTTTTTTTCAAGTAACTAGTAAAGTAACGTATTACTTTTTTAATTTACAAGAGAATATCGGAGTTACTACTTTCCCTTCAGCCTGAGGCTTATTCATTTCACTTTTGGTGTGAAAAGGCTTTTATATTTGCCAAAAATATAACTTTTTTATTTTAAAAACAAACAAGCAAGCCCTGTCCAAATTTAAAAAGTAACGCAAAAGTAACGTAACGCATTACTTTCCATAAAAAGTAACTAAGTAACGTAATTAGTTAAGTTTTTATGGAGTAACGCAATATTGTAATGCATTACTTTTAAAAGTAACTTTCCCCAACACTGATCGTCACTATATGCAAATGATCTGTTATAATTGGCAATACAGTTGCACTGATGTGTAAATATGCATTCAGAAGGTTTAATGTATTTGTTATTGCTTAGATTCAATAAATAATAACCCTATCTGGACAGCCTGAATCCCTGACAATATTCAAGAAACAGCCAAAAACTCTTCTCTTCTATGTATCTCTTTTATTCTCTTCCACTGCGTTGTATAGAAGCCTGTTTCCGCCACTGAATAAAAAGTAAAAAAGGTAACTGCGACTTTTTATCTCATAATTCTGACTTTTTTCTCACAATTGTGTTTACATCTCGCAGCTTCTTTTTTTCTCAGAATAGTGATATAAACTTGCAAAACTTGAGTTATAAAGTCCAATTCTAAAGTAAAAAAAGACTTCTTTTCTCAGAATTGTGAGACAAACTCATAATTACGAGTTATAACGTCAGAATTACATAATATAAAGTCGCAACTGCATGTTATAAAGGCATAATTGCGTATACAAACTCACAATTGTGAGAAAAAAGTCACCATAACTTTTTAACATTTTTTATTCAGTTGCAGAAACAGACTTCTCTAACATCTTGCTGAAAATTTTTCTTTATCTATGCTTTCACTATTTCTTAATCCCTCTGTTCAACCTTATACTATTCTGGGCAGTGCTTGAAACTTTGTACTGCAAGCAATTCTTGATGGATAAAAACGTCTGATAAATGAATAAATGTAAATGTGCATGGACTAGGGAGGGAGATTAGGTTGTAAACTTCAGCGAAAGAGCAATAAAATCTTGTTTTTCACGACATGTCCCCTTTAAAATGAAAAAAAACAAAACAATGAAGGACATAAACGGCTGACTTACACATCGCTCTGGTGCGTATAGACTCGGTCGAACAGCGCCTCTGGAGCCATCCATTTCACCGGCAGACGACCCTACAGACATCAATAGGAGAAAAGGTCAAAGACGGGCAACACAACAACATCCAGACACTGCGACACTCACATCTTCATCTGTACCAGATCCTTGTTAGCCTGGAATTTCATTAAGCCCCAAGCAGCCAATAATGATTGGCAATTAAATCTTGTTGGGACGTATCACCAAACTATAATTTCCCTCAGGAGTCATTGTGGGGTTATAAATTGAAGCTAGTGGAGAAGATACAAGAGTCAATGGCATTTGGAGTGCTAGATCCAATAAGAAGGGCCCCGAGTTCACAATCTCCTGGCTCACAGTGTTTCATTCAGACGGGGTTGAACTAGTGTAATTGAATCTAACCCCAGCCATTAATCAGTCATCAGTATCTCTCAATCTGGGCTTCGCTCGTTGTTTTAATAACGGCAAACTATGTTTAAAATATTCATGGCCAGATCTACGTGACCTTGATAAGAATGGAGAAATAAATCAGGACTAAAGCCGTACTGATGAATAACGTATGGAAAAGTTGACGCTTACATTTACTTCCCTGTTGTAAAATCCAAGTTCTACCAGTTCTACCGGTTGGCAAGCTGGTTTTTTAGACAAGGTTGCTGGTTTTCTACTGGTCCAACTAACTCTAACCAGCATAACCTAGAAGGTCTGATAGGTTGAAACCAAGTGGAAATCCAACTGTTCAACCATCTAAGCCAACTAACAACCATAAATATCCAACTAGAATCATGCACAATAAGAATACAAATGTTTAATAATTAAATAGGGCCAGTTTTGATTTAAATCCAACTGATCAACCATGTATGCCATCTAACAACCATAAACGACCAACTAAAATCATGCACAATAAGACTAGGAATGTTTAATGTTTTTGATTTCATGTTGATCTTTCATGAACATTGACCCAAACATAATGATGCTATCAATATTCACACACTCTTTCTCTGATGACCTAAACTCTCAGATGAGTGAATTACAGCCTAAACAAGCATCTCAGATGGGCTAGAGACTGGTATAATGGTGGGAATGCGCGTTAAAGCTATGCTAATGTGTTTAGGTTTGTCACTAACATTTCTTTCTCATGAGCTTGAACAACAAGCTTTGGAATAAGAGAAGAGGGCAGGCCCAAATAAGCAAAGAGCTGAAATCACTTTACACGCCGACTGCCTGGGAATCTGCAAATCATGCCAAGACTGGCGAGAGGAGGGAGGGATGTGGCAGATAAACAGATGGGGAAAAAAAGAAGAAATGAAAGAGAGAAAAGGTAAGAGAACAAAGAAAGAGATGGCAGGAGGC